GTATGTACCATAGTTTGGTTATCCATTCCTCAGTTGATGGACACCTAGGTTGTTTCCATCTGTTGGCTATTGTAAATAGTGCTGCAATGAACATGGGTGTGCATATATCTGTTCTTGTCATGAGTCTCACTTCTTTAGGATATATACCTAGTAATGGAATAGCTGGGTCAAATGGTATATCTAATTCCAACTTTTGGAGGAATTGCGATACTGCTTTCCACAATGGTTGTACCATTTTACAGTCCCATCAGCAATGTAGGAGAGTCCCAATCTCTCCACAACCTCACCAGCATTTGTTATTTTCTGTCCTGTTGAACTTTGCTATTAGTTGCAACCATTTTTGAATTATCTTCAGTAAGATTTTACTTGCATGCAATATTAATGATATTGTTCGATAATTTCCACATTCTGTGGAATCACTTTTCTCTGGAATGGGTACAAATATGGATCTCTTCCAGTCAATTGGCCAGGAAGCCAAACCCCATGGCATAACCAAGTGAGTGCCTCCAGTGGGGCATCTGTTTGCTGAAACATCTCAATAGGTATTCTGTCAATTCCTGGTGCCATGTTCTTCGCCAATTTCTTCAGTGCAGCTTTGACTTTTTCCTTCAATACCATTGGTTCTTGATCATATACCACCTCCTGAAATGGATGATTGACCAGGTCTTTTGGTAGAATGACTGTGTATTCCTTCCATCTTCTTTTGATGCCTCTTGCATCATTCAGTATTTTACCCATAGAATCTTTCAATATTGCAACTCAAGGTTTAAATTTTCTCTTCAGTTCTTTCAGCTTGAAAAATGCTGAGAGTGTTCTTCCCTGTTGGTTTTCTAACTCCAGGTCTTTGCACATGTCATTATAGCAGTTGGCTTTGTCTACTCGAGCTGCTCTTTGTTCAGCTCTTTTATCTTGTCATTTCTTCCATTAGCTTTAGCCACTCTCTGCTCAAGGGCAGTTTTCAGTCTTTTCTGACATCCATTTGATCTTTTCTTCCTTTCTCATCTTTTTAATGACCTCTTGCTTTCTTCATGGATAATGTTCTTGATATCATCCCACAATTCTTCTGCTTTTCAGTCATTGGTGTTCAACATATCCAATCTGTTCTTTAGATGGTCTCTAAATTCAGGAGGGATATTATCAAGGCCATATTTTGTCTCTCATGGACTTGTTTTAATTGTTTTTAATGTCAAGTTGAACTTGCATATGAGCAGTTGATAGTCTATTCCACAATCTGCTCCTTGGCTTGTTTTGGCTGAAGATATTGAGCTTTTCCATGGCCTCTTGCCACAGATGCAGTCAAACTGATTCCTGTGTACTCCATCAGGCAAAGTCCACTTGTATAGCCGCCATTTGTTGAAAAAAGGTATTTGCAATGAATAAGTCATTGGTCTTACAAAATTCTATCATGTGGTCTCCAGCGTTATTTCTGTCACCAAGGCCATATTTTCCAACTACTGGTAATTCTTTATTTTCAACTTTTGCATTTCAATTACTTGTTATAATTAACACATCTTGATTGCATCTTCAGTCAATTTCAGACTGCAGAAGTTGACAAAAATCTTCAATTTCTTCATCTTTGGCTTTGGTGGTTGGTGTGTAAATTTGAATAATCATAGAATTAACTGGTCTTCTTTGTAGGCATATGGATGTTATCCTATCCCTGACAGCATTATACTTCAGGACAGATCTTGAAACATCCTTTGTGATGATGAATGCCATGCCATTCCTCTTCAATTTTTCATTGCCGGCATAGTAGATCATGTGGTCGTCTGATTCAAATGGCCCAAATTGGTCCGTTTCAGCCCACTAATGCCTAGGATATCAATCTTTATGTGTTCCATTTCATTTTTTGACAACTTCCAATTTTCTTAGATTCATACTTTGTATGTTCCATGTTCTGATTATTAATGGATCTTTGCAGCTGTTTCTCTTCAATCTATGTCATGCTACATCAGCAAATGGAGGTCCCGAAAGCTTTACTTTGTCCATATCATTAAGGTTGGTTCTACTCTGATGATGCAGCTCCTTCCCAGTCATATTTTGAGTGCCTTCCAACCTAAGGGGCTGGTCTTCCTGCACTGTACCAGACCATGTTCAGGGCTATTCATAAAGCTGCCCAGTAATGTATCAGACAGTGTTTCTCTGCTATTCATAAAGTTGTCCCTTGCCAATTCTTTGAGAAGTGGATTGACTCTTCCTTCTTTCTAGTCTGTCTCAGTCAGTAAGATGCGTTGAAACAGGTACACGATGTGCAACCCTGCTGGCATTTGAGACACTGGTGGCACAGCCTTAAGCCTCACATTAACATGAAAGCCACCACAGTATGACAAACTAACAGACAAGTTCGTCTCCCTTAGCTGCTCGAAACCTCTCCACCCTCCCCTTACCTGGATCCTGTGGCTCCATTGTCCCCAGCTTTTCCCCGCTTCCTGACTCTTGAGTGTGGGACCTGACTCCTTCCCATTACCTGGATCCCACAGCTCTGTCGTCCTAGGCTCTTCCCCCACTTCCTGCCTCTGAGAGTGGGGCCTGTTTCCCTCCCCTTACCTGGATCCCACAGCTCTGTCTTGTCCCTGGCTCTTCCCCTGCTTCCTGTCTCTGGGAGTGGGGCCTGTCTGCCTCCCCTTACCCGGATTTCCATGGCTCTGTCTTGTCCCTGGCTTTTCACCCATATCCTGCCTCTGGGTGTGGGGCCTGTCTGCCTCCCCTTACCTGGATTCCCGTTGCTCTGTATCCAGAGGGCGATACACAGGTAATAATGAGAAACATCAGCCAACTGTGAGGTGTAAGAAAGAATAACCCCCAAATGCACACGTAGGAATTAAACCAAATACAGTAAGGCTAAATATAGTATAAAGGCAATGAATCTTTCATGACCTAGTAATTCTTGATAGCAGGCTGACATATGGTATAATTCAGTAATTAATGATAACCTTTGGGTCATACAGAAATCAATGTAGTGTTCAAGCATGCAGAATAGTTTATGATATATATTTAGAACAATATTCATCCATTTAAAAAAAAAGTTAGGACTTAAAGGAAATCATTTTTCTGTTATATATAAAAAATTAGCCTCTGTGTAATAGCACATTTCTAAATTATGTTTAGTGATGCATTTTTGTATTTCACTTATTTAGCAAACATTTCTTGAGCAATTACTATGTGCCAGGCATGATGATCTTGGCACTGGGCATACACAGGTGATTAAAATACTTCATTATGTCATTCACTAGCACTGAGAAACCAAACCAAAAGCAACTCACTGCCGTGGAGTTGGAAGGTGCTAAATTGACTGCTATATTTGCATCATTTTGAAAATTATCAAAATGAGAAGCAGAGAGAGCTAAGTACTATTGGATTTGGAATTTTAATGGAGAATTGCCAGGGATCCTTGGATGGTAGAAACAGTTGAGAACTCAACTACTAGACAGAAGATTCAAACCCACCTAGAGATATCTTGGCCTGGCAGTCTGCTTCCAATAACTCACAGCCTTGAAAAACCTTATAGAGCATCTCTATTCTGCACACATGGAGTTGCCATGAGTCAGACTTGACTTGATAGCAAGTAACAACAGTATATGCCTTTATAAATTTCCTAGAGGCCTCTTGACAGTATGTATTTAATGTCTTATTAAAAACTTAAAAAAAACTAATCCCTTTAAATTTATAATCCTAATTAGGAGTTTATTTCAAGAAAATGATGAAGGATAAGCAGAGTTTTTAAATGTAGTTGATCTGGTATTATTTATAGTAATGAAAATACTTTGTGTCTAATAGTAGAGAATTAGTTATGTTATAATTGGATACTTGGATGTTATATTCATCCCATGAGAATTCCAGTTTGAGAATACTTAGTGACATAGGATAATACTCATGGTATACTGGTAAGTTTAAAAAAAAGAAAAGGAAAAAAATGTTGAGTGACTATGTTATGGTAATGAGATTATAGGTGATATTCCTTTCTTATTTACATTTTACTCTATTTTCCAAATATTCTATAGTAAACATATTAGTAGTTATGACCAGAAAAAAATCAAATGTTATTTGGTACTGATTTTCCATTCTGGCATAGATTTTTTTGGAAATAGATTTTTGTCTTTGGAGATCATTAATGGTTATTTTTAGATATTGTGAATAACCAAGACTTGATGTTTATTTAAATCTATAATAAAATATCATAAATTCACCATTTTTTATTTTGGTTAAACCAAAAAACCAAAGTCACTGCCATCAAGTTGATTCTACTCATAGCAATGCCTCCTTGGGTTTCCAAGGCAGTATCACTACGGAAGTAGAGTGCTCAATCTTCCTTCTGAGGAGTGGGTGGTAGGTTTGAACAACCAGCCTTCTGATTAGCAGTCAAATGCCTTAGGCAGTAAAAATGATCATTTTTATGTTTTCTATATCAAGTGAAGAAATGAATAAAAGTATACAAACAATGCTACTAGGACCATAGGTAAGTGCTCCCAAAGATGAAATGGTGAATTCTCATGTAAATATTTAATGTGCTTTTTTGCTCTCATGAATCTGCAGCTCCTCAGTGGGTAGTGCACTTCCACGAAGACGCTGCTGTGCATATATTACCATTGGAATGATATGCATTTTCATTGGCATTGGATTAACTGTAAGTATTGCTTTACTTTAGAATTCTTTCCTCTGAGCTTTATCTCCATAATAAATGGTGAGGTTTGGGACTACCAAGGATGGTCCTTCAAGTGCCTACCTCCCTTGCATGCTAGGCCCAGATACTTCTGAATGAGGGCAACCTGAAGCCCAATTCATGGTCCAGTTTTCAGTAGGGTTTACCTATCCAGGTGAAATGGTATTGGGAGACTCCTCTGAAGGTTGTGATATTGGGCATTTTATCATGCATTTAACGAAAGTCTGTTAAGTGCCAGGACCAATTTTGCATTGCCATGAGGTTTCTTGTATCCAAGCCAATTCTCATTTAGCCATATTCCAAAAAAAAACATTCTTCCCTTAATCCAAGCTATGGGAAGATTCAGTACCAATATGAGATGGTTTATGCTTTAGAGGGGACTGAAGCTAAGCAGTAGCATAGGGCTTATGCCAGGAGAAGAAGAAGAAACATTTTCTGCCATTTGGTTCCCATGCTTCTTTGTTTCTCAGAGTTAGTACACCTGGTCCCTTAATTCTGGCAATATTCTGCTGTGTCATGTGAGACTAAGGAGGTGCATAGATCAAATTCCTTTTAGAGTTAACACTTTTTTAATGGATTTTTTTGTTTACTTTATAAAACTCATATTTAATATAAGTAGCAGCATGGTCTTATTAAATTTTACTCTGCCAGTTAGAGTCAACAGATACACTTCAGGGATATATTTCATAAAACTCATATGTAACCCAACAGAAAGTTCCTCTAAGTTACTTTCTTAAAATTTCTAACCTTTTGTTTTATATTGCTTTTTATTTTAGGTTGGCACTCAAGATTTTGCCAGGCGATTTCATGCAACCTATGTTTCCTGGGCAATTGCTTATCTCTTAGGTTTAGTCTGCCTTATCCGAGCTTGTTACTGGGGAGCCATTAGAGTCAGTTATCCAGAACAGAGTTTTGCATAAACTTGCTTATGATTGAGTGATGAAGGTGAGAGTGTCTAGCAGTTCTTAATAAGATACTCTGGACATTTTCAAATCATTTTTCCCAATGGATTCCATTCTGGTTTATGTATAATAGTTTTAAGACTTTGGGAGTCTTTCATGAACAAATGTTGATTGCACTACATTATATGCAAATAGTTTTTGGTTTGCTGCTAGGTTTTCAAGCTCAGAATAATAATAAAGTTGTGTTTTCATGTTCTTTTACATTTCTTTAAAGTATTTTGGATTTCCTCCCAGTCACTGTTTATAACATCACATACTCGTTATTTTAAAATCAGTTTTATTACTTGCTAATTTGTGAGTGCAGTTGGCCCTCAGTATCCATGGTTCTGTGTCTGTGGACTCAACCAACAACAGATTGAAAACATTCAGGAAAAACAACAACAAAAATCAATTAAGTGGTCAAAGCAATCCCTCAAAGGCTAAGAGGAAACATAAAGTGCTATTTGCAAAGTATTTACATTGTATTAGGTATTATAAGTAATATAGAGATGATGTAAAATATACAGGAGGATGTGTGTAGGTTATATGCAAATACTGTTGTTGTTGTTGTTGTTATGTGCCGTCGAGTCGGCCCCGACTCATAGCGACCCCTTCTTGGGTTTCCAAGGCAGTATCACTACGGAAGTAGGATTGCCCAACCTTCCTTCCGAGGAGTGGCTGGTGGATTTGAACCGCCAGCCGTCTGGTTAGCAGGCAAATACTACACCATTTTATATAAGGGACTTGAGCTTCTGTGGATTTTGGCATAGGAGGGGAATGTCATGGAACCAATCCTCCATGCATATTGAGGGATGACTGTATTTCTAAAAAGTGTTTATAAGTGTTTCTACAATAGCTCCACATTTGTAATTATATTTTGATTAGATAATATCGAAATTGCTTGCTTTAAATCTGAGCAATATGCATTTAGCTTGAACTACTTACTGTAACTTTAACCTAAGATCATAATGACCTTATTCAGGAAGTAACTTCAAAGACTTGACACTGTTGTTAGAGAAGAACCATTTCTAGACACTGTTTGCTTGTTTTTTTGTTGCTGTTTGTAGAGAGATACAATATTTTGGTAGTAATTTAAAACAGAAAAATAAAAAAGTATTTATTTGTCCACAGCTGGAGATAATGTTGGATAAATGTCTTTTTTCAAAAATCACAGAATTTTTGGCCTTTCATTTTTGTCTGTTTTCTTTACCAATTATAAAAATTCTGGTCTGGATTCATGGAATTTAATGTTAATCAATTGTATGTATTCCTTTATAGAGCCTGGAGGAGGTATTTCATACAATACGTTTTATAATACTTAACCATTTAAACAAAGGTGTATTTACATTGGGTTGTCTTCTTTTCATTACACTATGATACATTTTCCTATTGAGATAATTATGTATTATATGTGAAAGGAGTCTATGACATTTTACATCAGCTAAAATGTTGAGACTATAGGTAGTAATTTTTAACCATTCTTCCCAAATATAGGTGGTTAGATAATTACCCAATTCATTTGGAAAAAAAAAAAAAAAAAAGATCAGAAACAAAAAGCAACCTAATTTTCTAAGAATTCACTAGGACTTAAGAAATCAGCTCTTGCACTGCCCATCTTTGCAGTTTTGAAAAAGAAATTGCTTAGTTGAGAAATAAAGTTCTCAATTCATTAATGTAGTAGAGAATTAGACAATGCTATGATCTGAGCAAATTAATTGGCTATTCCAGGGATAAGAAGAATAATATAAATGATTTATGTTCCTGATTTGTATACAAATGTACTCATCAGAGAATTCTGAACAAAATAATGTAAGCGCCAACTAACAAATGATATATGTAAAAATGCAGTAGCTCAGGATTATATGTACCTTTGAAAATACACTAATAAAGATTATTGTTCAAAAATGACCTTGGTCTAGTCCATTTTTTAAAAGTAAAATACTGTGTCCAAAATTGCCTACAGATCTTACTCTAAAGAAATGTTCATAAAGATCCTTTATATAACATTCACTTATTTCTTTCTAATTTTTTTTAGTTTTATTTAACTTGCTATTTTTTTTATTGTGGTAACAATATTTATCATATAACTTTCCCATCTCAACCATTTTCACATGAACAATTTAGTGGCATTAATTGCATTCAGTGTTTTGTAAGCATCATCACTGTCTATTTCCAAAACTTTTCATCATCCCAAACAGAAACTCTGTACCCATTAAGCAATAACGTCCCAATCCCTCCCCTCCGCAGATCCTGGTAACTGCTAATATCCTTTCTGTCTCTATGACTTGGCCTATTCTAGATATTTAATATAAAAGGCATCATACAAGATTTTTTCTTTTGTGTATGGGTTATTTCACTTAGTATGATGTTTTTAAGGTTTATCTTTGTTACAGCATATACTACATATTCATTCTTTTTATGGCTGAAAAATATTTTATTGTATGTATACATTAAAAGTTGTTTATCCATTCATCGTTGATGGGCACTTGAATTGTTTCTGCCTTCTGACTATTTTGAATAATGCTGCTATGAGTATTAGAGTACAGATATCTGTTCAAGTCCCTGTTTTCAATTGTTGCTGTGTGCCTTCGAGTCAGTCCACACCACAATGACCCTATAGGACAGAGTAGAACTGCCCCAGAGGGTTTCTTAGGATGTAATCTTTATAGGAGCGGATTTCCAGGTCTTTTCTTCTGCCAAGTGGCTGGTGAGTTTAAGCTGCCAACCTTTTTATTCGCAGCCAAGTGCTTAACCATTGTGCCACCAGGGCTCCTTTGTTTTTATTTACACGTAAGTATACATACATCATTTTAGAAAAAAAAGTCCTAATAATTACATGTATCAGGTGCTATGTTCGCTTCACAGCATATGCTGTTTGATATTCATAGGAACCCTAATCAGCAAGTATTTTTGTTTCTGTTTTACTAGAGAAAATTGAGGTTCCACACCCATAGATTGATCAGAAAAAGTAGACTTTGGGTAGGACAGGAATCTACTTTCAAAACAATCACTTGCAGATGATTCTGATGTAGATTATTTCTTGAGAATCATACTCTGATATAAACACTAATGCTGAAAATGTACACACAGAATAATGCCAGTTACTCTGGCATTCACATTTTCTCTTACAGAAAAGGCTTTGATTGCATTTGAGTAATTAACACCTTTCTTTTGTTTAGCTTTTGTTTTGTTTATAGCTGTATTTGTGCTACATGGTATCTTAAGACTTTAGTGACATTTCCATGTTGATGATCTCCACAAATTGTTATAAAATTTAAATTTTCATTTATTCAGTGTATGTTTTCAGTGGATACACACGCACACACATAAGTATGTATGTATATCAATTTAAAAAAAAAAACTAGTGTTATTAAACTGCCTTACGTATCTTTTAACGTAATTATGATTGTACTATTAAGGAAGCTCAGGAGCTCTGGTAGCATAGTGCCTAAGGCACTTGACTGCTAACCAGAAGGCTGGCAGTTCAAACCGACCAGCCACTCCTCAGAAGGAAGATGGGGCAATCTACTTCTGTAGTGATACTGCCTTGGAAACCCAAGGAGGGGTCGTTATGAGTTGGGCCCTACTCGACAGCACATAACAACAACAACATTAAGGAAGCTCAAACAGTTAAATAATTAGATAAAGGTCTCTCAGCTTATATGTGACCATGTCAGCTAGAATAAAATCTGATCTGCCTGCCTCCAAAATTCATCTGCTTTCTAATACAACATACTGGGCATTACTTTGTAGAGGGGCTCTGGTGGTGCAGTGGTTAAAGCATTCGGCTCCTAACCAAAAGGTGGGTGGTTGAAATCCATCAGCCGCACCACTGGAGAAAGATGAAGTCGTCTACTTCCATGAAGATTTACAGCCTTCAATACCCTACGAGGCAATTCTACTCTCTCCTACTAGGGTTGCTATGAGTCGCAGCAGCTCAAAGGTGGTGGGTTTGGGTTGTAGAGAATAACTTTTGAGTTTTTGTGCCCTCTGCTGTACATTTTCTGTAGCTCAGCTGTCAAAAGAAAGTTAACAGAAAGGATTTGCCCTGACAAATAGAATACTATAGTTGAAAAAATCTTTTCATTAAATTTATAGTACATCCTATAATATTGATTTTAGAGCATTTTAATGTATGTTCACAAAATATTATTACATGCATCTCTTTTCCATAATTAACAAAATCATAGTAAGACAGGAACAGTGTACATAACAAATACGAAGAAATTGGCATTCATGAGTTCTATTTAATAGCAATTGTTGTTGTTATGTGCCGTTGAGTCAGACCCGACTCATAGCGACCCCTCCTTGGGTTTCTGAGGCAGCATCACTACGGAAGTAGATTGCTCCATCTTCCTTCTGAGGAGTGGCTGGTGGGTTTGAACCTCCAGCCTTCTGGTTAGCAGTCAAGTGCCTTAGGCACTATGCTACCAGAGCTCCTTTTTAAAGCAATAGTGGTATATAAATGACTGTTAAATAGCACAAAATGTTAAAAAAGAAATTTGTAAGGCTTTTGATTTGTTTAACTTCTAAGATGCTCAGTTACAAATTTGAATAATTACAGTGAAGTCTGTGAGAGCTGGAACTCTCAGAACTGCTTTGTTTTTCTGGATTTCACAAGTTTTCTGACTCTAATAGGTTACACTCACGACTTTTCGATTACTGTTTAGTGGAAAATATTTGAGTTTTCCTTCTTGGACAGGTTTGTGCATTATACAGGTTCTGGCTTTCACAGGTATTACTGTAAAATGCTCTGTATGTTTTTGTAAATGGGCATTTGACTTGAGGTAAAATACTATGTGAAAAGCAGAAAAAAAAAATATCTTATGCTCTTTTGGGGCTTGCCCCACAGAGTATTTATCAGATAAGGCTCTAAGAGGTGGTTATAGTTTCTGATTTAACAAATAAGAGTCTTAGATCTACCACAGAGGCAATCTTTAAGCTTTTGCCAATGAAAAAATGTAATGAAAAGTGATTTA